TTTACTTATCCAAAAATATGATCGAGAATGTGATGTGTGATGCTTTTTACAGTCAAGACTGCGGTCTTTACTGTTTTTTACACTTATATGATATGCTACAGTACATAAAAGCAATGTATCATAAATTATTTATTTAATAGAAATTGAAGAGAACTGCAACCCTACAAATACAATCCAATGTTCCAACAGACACAAGGAGGTAGACAGCAGTGACATTTGCATTTGTGCGCTACAGAGCTTCTTCCAGCATGTCAACTTAGTCTGTAAAATGTGGACCAGATGTTTCCCTCCACGCACGACTACAGTATGTCTTATTATGGTGTGTTCATGAGTGCCGTGTGTCCCCCTGTGAGCACAGTGCGGCTGTATGATCAGCAGTGGTCAGCATCGCTTTACTTTCCTGAACAGGAAGCAGGTTTACATTCTGCAATACTGTACACTCTCAGGCCATAACGTGAGGTACACCTGCATCATGTAAAGGGAGCGTAAGTGGACATAAAACGTCTGCACACCCATGTGCAAAAGGCTCGTTTTTGTCATATAATTTAGACCAGGAATTCTCCCAATTAATGTGACCTATAATCTGTCAACTTTCTGATATGTAAAAAGAAACAACTGAGGTCATTTAGCTGCACACGTGGGGACACTCTCTTATAACTGGGAATGAAGCTGTGTGCACAATTAACCAATCATTTACCACCTCATGTTAAATGTGAGATAGAGTGCCTCCGATTAATCCAAAATAAACTTTAGATGTTCTGGTATGAGTTCCTCGTTTTTGCAGTTATGTCTTGCAGAAAGACTCGATAGAATCAGAGCTGGATGTCTCTCCAAATTGATGAAAAGACGGAAAAGAAAACGAGTCAGGGAGGCTCGCAGACACCGACAGCAACATTAAAGGACTTTCAGGAATTTCTGGTAATTGCTGGCTGTGGAGTGACACCAATCTCCTGTCTTCTTCATGGGGTAGGGTGGCAAGACAGAAGATTTAGTCAAGGTGGAAGGAATTATGAACATGGCCAAAAACACTAGTCAGTGTTAGTACAAAACCAAAAAAGGGCGACAAGAACATCTGAACTTCATTGAAGTGTTAATCAGAGGGACTCCCATTTAAAATGAGTTTCAATGTGATTGATTCATTTGAAACACAAACATATGTTTTGCAACCCAACCCTCAAGCTCCCACTTCCCTGTATGTCATCAAAGAGTGATGATTTTACTTGTTTTGTCTTCTTCTTTATATACAGTGGAAAGGGCAGAGCGAGTTCAAGTGATTTCTTTTACTCTTCATAGTGATGGTGTTAGTTTTGCGCTGTCGCCATGGTTACACATACAAAAGCCTCTACAGGTGTCATATGAATTGCTGCCACCGCAGGAGTTCAATTAAAGTCGAATTAAAATAAAAAGTCAGCAATGAGAGTGTGAAAAGCGACCAGGTTTGAAAGGAAGTCTTCAGGTCTTCAAGTTGTTTTTTTTTCTCTCACAAATCTATTTTTAACACAGTGCTGATTGCACCAAGCGTGCAATGCCTGCAAATTCACAGCTCTCGCACTTTGGTTCAACCTCACGTTGCTATTTTGTGATGCAAGTCATTCTGTGAAACATTATATTAGGTCACTTGTTGTTTTTGTGCCCCCCCCCCTCCTCTACTCATTGTAACTTCCAGAAATGTAATCCCACTGGAAAAGGAGAAGGCAACCTTCCAATTGGCTTCGCAAACTTATCTATCCTGGCAGGGGGAGCTGAAGTCTTCACCCAAAGTGGTAAAACAGCAGTGCAGATGTGAGCTCACAGAGAGGAAGCTAATATAGACTCTTGAAATCTGCATCTATTGTACATTGGGTCTTTCCACTTTGTGTGTGCCGTGGCACAGTAAGGTGCTCTAAAGCTCGTGTCTCACAGAGATAGGTTTGCAAGTGTGTGCGCAATTCGCGAATATTATTATTTTTTTTTCAGGATTCATTCCATGTTGCAAACAGTTACAAAGACATTCAGCAGACATTCCCAAACAGTTTTAATGGTTGCAAAGACTTTTTCTTGCCGCGCTCAAATTTTGAACATGTTCAAAAGTACTTTGCGACAAGAAAAACTGCTTATGACCTTGAACAAACCCTGACGAAAAACAATTTTCACTCGGTGCCTACACACTTGAAAACCTTGCTGCTCAGTGAGATAGGGGCCTATCCCACTAAGTGGTGAACAATTGCGAGTGTTTAGGAAAGCAGCGAATGTTACATTCAAGGTTCATTCAAGGTTGCAAATATTTGCTAAAGCGTCGTCAGACGTTCGCCTGTACTTTTCTTGTGGCAAGGGAATTTTCAGCATTGCTCCAAGCAAAATCACTTAAACTGTTGGTGAACGTCTGATATGGTAGTTTTGGCCAGGCCTTGCTTCGTAATGGAGAAAGTTAGCCAATTTTTGTTGCAGCTTATCTATCATTTAAACATATTCACGCGGAAGATGTCTTAAAACTAAAGTTATTAATATTAGATAGGGGGACAAAATTGGATATAATAAGATAATAAGAACCAGGATCCCAAAATTCTGTAAACTCTGCACGGGACAATAAACCCCTAAGAACGTCAGGTTTTCGGTTTTGCAATTGACTTTGCATCGACGCTAAATGAGTGTGCATGCCTACCCTATCAGATGAAAATCCATCTACTGCTAAGTAATATCAAATAACTTTTGTATATTCCTCCACTCATGGTTGTGACTGTATCTGGCTTCAAAGTGCAGCTCCCGGAGAAAGTTCAAATGTAAAACATGACCACGAGTACGAGCGAGGCCAGAGACAAACATTTTAAATCATCGTTGTGGATTAATTTCTGTTTCACTGTTGAATACTGCAACAAGGCAGTGTAAATTAGTGACATTTTACTGCTTGCGAGCGTTTCTTTAAATATGACCCGCACTTTTTAAAGAAACACTAGCAAAAGGACCAAGCCTATCCTGATAGCTACAACACTTGGACACATTGACAGTCGCGAAACGGCAACAACAGCACAACAACATGTCCATTAGAAATGCTTTGGAACGCGACTAGCATTCCACATTTTTTTTTTTTTTTTTGCTTCTGTGGTTTAGATGGGGCTTGACCGAGATATAGAGGCATGTCTGTGAAAATAACTCATTTTCATCAGTTCCCTGACTTTATGGAGTTGCTCTCGTTTCCTTTCTGTAAAAATACATAAAATACAAATACACGTCATGGTATGTTTATTTCTTAAGTGGATAGTTTCCATAAATGACAAGAGAGACAAGGCAGGCAGCAAATGGCGCAGCAGCAGTATACCCTGGGTTTATACCTCCACCTAGTGGTCGTCGACTAGAACAACACCATTTGAACACGATGGAGCTCGCAATTGATGTCAAAATCAGATGTACGATCATTTTCATTCAGTCGTCCGAATCACAAGTGGAATGCAATTAAAAATCGAACAAATCCACAGTCGAGGACATGTAATTTTTGAAAATCATTTTTATGTGCGAGCTCATTTGCACTTTTGATAGACTGGTGTCATACTCTTAATTATTATTGTTGTTGTTATTATTGTATTCCCATGGTTATAAATGCAGTCGTCCTCAAGCGCATTATCAATACTGATGAACCACGTGACAAGTCACGTTTCAAAATTATTTTGTAGAATTGTGGGCATTGTGTCCTCCGGGTCAAAGAGAAAAAGAACCACACGGACTGCTATGACGCAAAGTTCAAAAGCCATCATATCTTTAATGGAATGGGGCTGTATTAGAACCAATAGTATGGCTGATTTACGCTTCTGCGACGGCACCATTAATCCTCAAAGCTACGACAGGTTTTGGGGAAACATATGCTGCCATCCAAGCAACATATCTTTTTGTTGGACGCCCTGCTTATTTCAGCAAGACAAAACCAAACCACTTTCTGGCTTCATCGTAAAAGAGTGCGGGTACTAGATTTAGGCGCCTAACTGCAGTCCAGACCTGCCTCCCATTAAAAATGTGTGGCACATTATGAAGCGTAAAATACGATAACAGAGACCCCAGACTGTCGAATAGCTGAAGCTGTACGTCAACAAAGAATGTCAAAGATTTGTACCCAACAAAGCTTCAACAATTAGTGTCCTCAGTTCCCGAACGTTTATTGAATTTACGAAACGATGACGCAACACAATGGTAAACCCTGTGCGAGCTTTTTTTTGGAGCGTGATGCAGTCATAAAAAGTTAACTAGTATTTGCAGAAAAAAAAAACAAAAAACAATAAAGTATCAATTTAACATTAAATACTGTATCTTGTGTTTGTAGTGTATTCAATTAAATGTACGTTGAACATAACTGCAAAACAAGGTATTGTTTTTATTTATGGTTAACGCAATGTCCCAACTGCATTGTAATTTGGGTTTACTGTAAATCTCTCCGACTGGCTTTATCAGGTGTCTGGTGCCTGGGAGACCATGCGCAGGGCTTACAAATTCCTGAAGTAGCTATGGAAACAGCTGGACGGAAACATTCACGAATTCTCTGTCGCGTCCCTCTCGCTGTCCCCCTATCCTTGTACTGTACCTTCTGTGCGGTGGAGAGCATGTGTGCATCCGCGATCGATAAATGAGGCGCTACAAGACTGTGCGACTGATCGCGCCGGAAGGAGGCACCTTCCCTAGGTAAGAGGTGGCATGCCCAGGGCCCTTGGAGGTATGCCTGAACTCCAGCAGAGACAGGGCGGCATGCGCAAAAGTGTGCCAGGGAATAAGGCACTTTCGCTGTGGAGGAGGCGGCATGCCCCGGGACCCCGTGTGTTGGGTGCTGTGCACCACCAGCAGACCAGCTAAGAGCTCGATCGATACGAGATGCGCGTGTCGCAACTCTCCTTAAGATGAAGTTGGCTCAACCTTCACAGGTTAAAAAGAACGAAAGGCACGTTAGACTGGTACGCACGCTTTGAACCACATTTAATCGGAGATTACTATGACGTACATTGCCTTCAATGTGACCAAGTCTTTGATGTTTTGGTGTTCACGTTGATATAAGGTTTGACTCCTCGACAAGGGTCAGTTCGCTCTAGACGACTGCTAAACAAGTTGTTTTTACTATTTTACTATTACACGTGACGTGGTTATTGGTCAACAACCATATCGGTTATCATGGCTAAAAGCAGGACATCTGTTTTGTGGACGTTGTCACTTTGTATCGTCGCGTGCGCCTTCCTGTGTAAGTAGACCGGCCATGCTGCTGCACGTCATTACTCCTGTAAATAATAGCCGTGTGGGTGCGTGCGTGTGTGTTTGAGAGGGATAAGTTAAATAAAAAAGGACTATGTATTTGGAGCGAGATGCTGAGACGAGCCGCTTTTTTTTGGAATGTGTTGCAATGCATAAAGGCACAACAGTAGGCATCTGAAGAATCTAATGAAAGCCAATGCAAGAGCTGCGTATGGGAACCTAATACCAATATATGTATATTTGTATATACGTATCACGTTTGCAAGGTGGTGGTGGACCCCAAAGAGCAGGCAAGAGAGGGAGGAGCAGGGTGTACTTGAAAGATTGTATTAAAACACAGAAAACTAAATCCGAAACAAAGTCCAAAGTATCAAACAAAAACCATGACTGAAGCTCAAAACTATCAATGACAGAAACATGACCAAAAACATGACCTAAACATGACAGACAAACAAACATGACAGGAGCAAAGAACAACAATGACCTGACAAAGAGTGTTCTGGCTGGAGTCCTTTTATAGAACTAATTACCTAACGACCAACAGGTGTGCAGCTACAGGGGGAGCCCTACAGTGCCACCTGTTGGTCCCAAACCAAATCATGACGAGTATGTGATAGCTGTTTTGATACTATATCCGTCACCCTTTCATCAGTTATTTGTAGCCTACTATTATCTTGAGATCACATATAATGTACTAGCACGCTTGAATGTTTTGTCTGAAAAGGGTTGAAAAACTTTTGTTGAAAGTCAGGTTTGTTTGTTTTTTTGACAATGCGAGTGAAAATAGGAAGGATGCATACATTTGAGTAGGTTTGTTTTGTTAAAATTGATCGTTAGATTAAAATTGATCATTAAGAGTACGGATGGCTCTAGAAGAGCTTTGAAAAAGATGGCGTATCACAGGCGTTTGTGTTTGTTGGCATTTTGTCCTGTTGGGGGCATTAGCGCGTCCACGGACTTTGATGTACAGTATGTGACTGTGCTATGTTCGTACCATCCACGATTGTCACAACCAACCATTGTTCAGTTTTTTTTAATTTATTTTTTGACGATAGAAATGATTTGCATGTCATAGCACTTGTTTTCCGTGGTCTTCCAGCCACACCTAATGAGTTGTTACTTGTTTCAGCCTAATGAGGGCTTGCTTCATTAGGTAGTGAGAGCTCTTTGGAACTTTGCATTGAGAGGTGACCTCACCAGATTCCAAATGAATATACCACACTTGAAATGAACTCTAGGCCTTTTAGCTGCTCCCTGTAAGTGAAATAATGATGAAATGACAGATACCTAGCCACACAAAAAGCTGTTTAGCCGATTCTCCAAATACTCTTGGTCCCTTAAAACGGTGGAGACACTTGTAATGACTACACCATTGACCTGAGTTGGATGGAGATACCCTCAAATCAATATTCACAGTGTTCATTTAAAGCTCATCGTGATTGTCTCATTTAAAATACATTGTGGTGTTGTACAGAGCTGGAACATTGGAGTTTGTGTAAACATCCAAATATTTATCGACCTGATGATGTAATTGTGTCATGCATCATATGAAGAGCTATCGCGACAGCTTTGCTCCTCTCCTGGGGCTAAACAACGGTGACCATATTTTGATATCGCTCTTCGATTGTGACCGTGAGTGCGTCTGTGTCGAAACCTAATAAATTGAAAAAAAGAAAGTACCTGTAAAGCTCACGGTCAGCACTCTAACCTGAGCATGTATCTGGAGAAAAGATCATCACTGCCGTAATTTTTATGGCTCCACAAGCCGCATTATCATCCAATCAACCACCAAAAAGGGACATCGTAGAGGTGGTGGATATGATGCTGTGTGTACCCCTCACTCTGTTTTGAAATAATCTTCATTAATAGAAAAAAAATGAAGTGTTTAAGATTCCAGTCGCAGAGAGCTTATTCGTGTACGTTTTGTACAGTATGTGTGTTTTTGATGATAATCCAGTGTTTATAAAGCGAGTTGCCCAGCTGCTAATGAAAACTATCAGGGTGACTTAGCATTAAGTCTTTTTTTCTTATCTTTCCACAGGCCACATCCCATCAATGTTCGCAGTAATCCTCCGAACCAAGGCCAGAATTGTGCGGATAAATGAGTTTGAGCGTAAGTTGCCACAACCTATTTTAGCAAAAGTAGCTTTTCTTTCCCTCCCAATTTATGTTGCGCTTTTTTGCACTTTGCACTCCCTCCCTCTCGGCAGCCGTTGAGCTGACCTGCATAATACACTTCGCTTCCACCTACAACCTGAGGATTGAGTGGAAGAAGATCAGGAACGGCATCCCGAGCTATGTTTACTACCGAAGGAAGATTGTAGGTAAATTGACACAGCAAGCTGAGGAGAATGAATAGCACTCTTAGAGAACTCTGCTTTGAATCCCGTTTGCATCCTGACCTGATCCCTGCTGTGTGTTTCAATCAGCTGTTGTAAAGTTGTGTTTTTTTTCCCCTCTCTCTCTTCTCTCAAAAGGTGACTTGGAGAACAGGGCACAGCTCAGAGAGCCGGCCAGCATGCTGATCTTCAATGCCACCCGCACGGATACGGCCGAGTACCGCTGCGAGGTGGCCTACAATGACGGCTCTGGGGAATTTGATGAGATTAAGATTAATCTTGAAGTGAGAGGTGTGTGCAATCAACCAACCAAGTAAATCTTTGCTGGACTGCCTGTTCCCCAAAATATGACTGAGAGCAAGTTCTTCTCCATTTTACCGAAATGTGACATCACAATATGGCTACCGGTACTTTCCATAATACCACCCCCACATGGAGTTTCTCCACCGAAGACCAGCAAGACCATCATGTTACCTGAACAATAATTAGCTTCTCAGAACGGGCAGTTGTGCTCAAGTCCGCTGCACTGAATTTACAAGTGAGCTGGTTAGTGATGAAGTGCTGCCTCAAATACAATCCATGCTTTTGCAAAAAAATGGATTGATGGATTTCATACACAAGGGAACTTAATGTGCTTCCCACAAAGAAAAGCACAACACATGAAAGCATTTACAAACAGCTGAAAAAATTCAAAGGCAAAGCAAAGAGAACAAAAGTAGCTAATTAAAATTACTAAAGAACCTACATCGAAAAAATCTCATCGCATTTACAAACAATTTCCAAAACCGGTATCCTCAGTCCCGTTTTGATTTAGTTGAAGGAAATGTTGGTTCATTCGTTTGTTCGTTCGCTCGCTCGAGACAGGGACACGTCAAATTAACTGCGAAGTGAGGCGGCTCCATATATTGCACTTCAAAGCTTCAAAACGGTTATAAAAAAGTGACAGTACTCAATAACAGTCATGGAGGAGATTATTAGGTGGTATTCAGAGGTCAGCCTCTTCAAATGAAGGCGAAACAGTTGGTCAACCTTGATTCATAATGTACTGAGCCGCCAGGCGTCATCACTTTTGTCGCTACACTTGGGTTATGAAGCAGTAAGTTCTATATTTGATGTTATGGTTAACGCAATGCCACATTGCCTCGTGATAACTCCAGGGTGTACCTCACTTCCCGCCCCAAGTCAGCTGGGATAAATGCCAACTCAACCCCACTGAGCACAGGCGCGATACAAGATGAATGGATGGATCGATAGCAGAATTTGAAAAAAAAAAAATCTTCTCAACTCACCTGTATTTTTAGCACCATAAAACAACTATCGCTGCATGGAAAGTGTTGTACTTGGAGCAAATATCATATATACAACAATAAAACTAAATTAATAACAAGGACAGTAGAAAGGACAAAAACAGTAAAACTAAAAATTAAAGTGAGTCATGCTGAGTCAAAAGCCAAAGAATAGAAATTAGTTTTGAAACGAGTTTTAAAGATGGGCAGCGAGGGGCCTTGCCAAATGTTCAGTGGGATGTCATTCCAAAGAGAGGGACTAACAACAGAAAAGGCTCCCCCCAGAGCGTCCGCAATAATGTCTGGTCCGCAGACCTGAGGCACCGGGCAGGTGTATAGGGGTGGAGAAGCTCAGAGACAAATAATAGGATCTTAAAAAGAACTCTAAAATGTATAGGGGGCCAGTGAAGGGATGCCAAAGAAGGAGTGATGTGCTCCCTCTTACAAGTACCAGTCAAGAGCGAGCTCGCAGCAGCATTCTGGACCAACTAGAGACGCTTAACTCCAAAGTGCATTACAGTTATCCAGCTAGGATGTGACAAAGGCATGAATGAATGTTTCAAAGTCCTCATGAGAAAGAGGTTTTACTGTCTAAGATGAAAGAAGCTGGATTTAATAATGGTACCAATTTGCCGGTCCAATTTAAAATCACTGTCCAGTTTAGGACCCAAGTTTGAGACTGTTGGCTTTAGATAAGGAGCCAGGGGCCCCAAGTCTACAGGATGGGATGTACAAGGGCCACTGAGACCAAACACCATCACTTCTGTCTTCTTTTCATATAAATTCAAGAAATGTAGTGCCATCAAGGGCTTGATTTCCTCCAGGCAGGATAAAAGTGGACTCAAAGAGAAAGTGTCTTTTTTGCTCAGTGGGACATAGATCTGACCGTCATCCGCATAGCAGTGGAAGGAAATACCACGTTTCCTTAAGGTGGAACTCATTAGGAGCAGATACAGTGAGAACAACAGAGGCCCCAGAATTGAGCCCTGTCGAACACCACACGACAGTAGGGCAGTATGTGACTCAGAGCAGCCAAGGCTAACACAAAAGGTTCTGTCAGCTAAATAGGACCTAAACCACTCAAGGGCGCCACCGCCAATGTCCACCAAGTGCTGCAAACAAGTCAGCAGAATACTGTGATCCACTGTCTCAAATGCTGCAGTTAAATCCAATAAAACAAGACACACATAGTCTCCAGTGTCATTTGCCAGGAGGATGTCATTAGAAACACATAACAGGGCCGATTCTGTGCTTTGCATCATCTTGAAACTTGACTGGAAGACCTCCAAGATGAAGATTCTAAACCTTTTAGGCACAATCCCAAACACAAGTTTTCCATTGTTTTTGTTCAGATCAATCACTTGGTTTCTGCCACCCAAAGTTCCTTTGCAGCCAATTGTTTCTCAATCTTACAAAAAGGTCTCTCTTCAAGACAAATCAATAAGGAACATGTTATGTTGTGCACAGTGAAACCCGTGGAGCCCCAATGCAGCGTGCCCAAGGCGGTCACGGTGGGCATGGCGGCCGAGCTCCAGTGTCTGGAGAATGAAGGCTTCCCGGCACCTGTCTACCGCTGGTTCCGAAACAATGAGGAGCTTCCCCAGGACCCCAAGAACAGCCCCAAGTTTATCAATGCGACTTATACCATGAACACCAGCACTGGAAGCCTGGTATGACACACCCTATTCCTTAATATATTTGGACAAATGTCACTTTCTAATTTAGCAAATTCCACGTGTTAAATTGTCCATTCAGCATGTCAGCAAAGGCAACAGCTTGTATAAGAACCTGTGCATTTGTCATTGGAAGTAAACACCAGACGCAAGACTTGCATTTTGTCGACTGTGCAGCCGAGTGTCACTCAATTGTCTTGACGTTTTCCCTCAGAAATTCCACAGGGTGAGGAAGGAGGACGCGGGGGAGTACCACTGCCAGGCCAAGAATGATGCCGGCCACGCCCATTGTCCCGCGAATTTGATGGAAGTCCGTGAGTGACGTGATTGTGTTTTGACAACTAAGGAAAATGTTGGCCTTGAGGAGTACGTGGGACGGCATAGAACATGATGGGACTGAGCAGAATCAGAAACTATGGATGAAGAATACATTGATAAATTAGAAAGCATAATTCAGCAGTGTCCCCCACTAAATCGAGCAGCGACACTTGTAATTGTGCTGACATCCACGTGTACCAGAACGTATGCAAAAATTCAAAGGGATATTTGTCACCGTGTGTCATTATGTACTGTATTTCTAGTGGTAATTTGTCTTACACATGATGACAAAAGGATTTGCCAGCTATCCTCACCGGGCACTTCATTAGGTTCACATGTGGCTTTTGTTGCAAGGTCTATTTTGATTTTTATAAAGTCCTCCAAGGGTCAAGGGTCATACAAAATGTATGATAACAAATTACTTAACAGACATATTAACACTATTACACGGTGGTTTAAAACTAATTAAAGCAGGATTGTCATGTGAGGCTAATGCCACTGTTGCCCTAAATTAACAGCAGTGGTAATTAATACGGTCCGACTGATGGGGATTTTTTTCGGCCGAAAAGATAATTGTTCGAATAAAAATTCAGATAACTAGTAAAATGGCTAATTAATGTAAAAAATATATCATGAATGAAATAACTTGATCTGGTAATGCTTACAACAACAAAGATATGAATTATAGGCAGAATATTTGACAGTTTTAGAATAGATAATTTTCCATGAACAGAACTGAAAAGTCTTCTCCCAAATATTGTTCACAAATTTGTCTCACAGGTGTGGCCTGTCAAGATGCTGACTAGACACCATAATTATTGCACAGCTTAGGTTGTCCACAACAATGTGTCCACACTATTGTAAGATCTCCACAAATCTACAACCACAAAACCAAACATTCTAAAATGGATGCTGACAGCATTAGTCATAAATGAGTGCATGAAACATTTTCATTACATTGCGCTCGTGTCATGTATCATGTTATAAGCATGTCTGTATGTACGTTTTCTAGATGATGTTGACATCCTCGCCATCATTCTCAAGTCTGTCGGCGGCGTGATAGCTGCCCTCTTTGTGATCAGCAGCATTTGGTGTTTTGCTTCACGCGTCTACGCCTCCAAAAAAGCCAGAAATGAAAACGAGTGAGTGTCAAATAGCAATCCATTTACTCCCGCATTGACTGATAATTCTGAGATTGGCTGCATTTGTTGTTGCCTTTCAGAAAAGCCATCTTCTTCAAAAAAGGCCAAAATGAAAACACGTGAGTATCTAATACCAATTTATTTTAATCGTTAGTCTTCTAATGACAAGGTATGCATTCATCGTCTCATCTTTGACAGAGTCAGTTTGTCAGCGCAGAACGATGGTGTTGATGACGACAAAGCCGATGAGGTACAAAGTGTAGCATATCCTCGAGTGAGAGGAGGACAATATATACAATTTTCAATTGCTTACATGCAAATATTTAGAGCACTGTGCCTGCCCACTAATCAAATAAATCTTTTTGGGTCCTACTTTCGTTCTGAGCGCAATTCTGGTGCAAGGTACGTCTATTTCATAGACTGACGCAGTTTGGGGCAGTTTGACGGAGGCTGTGTCATTTGGGCATCAAAACACCGACTCCAGTCGTGCCCAATCAAGTTGCTTTCCATCCTTTAAATGTCGTGCGCCTGACCAGTATACCAGCATAGGAAGAGATTCAATGATGTCAGACAAAAGGCCAAGGGTAAACTAGTGGAACGGCGTGCAGAGCAGCAAGCAACAGGTGGGTGGGAATGCTTATCAAGGCGTAGCACGGTCTACCAAAATCACAAACCCGTTAAGTTGCACCTGCCCTGCCAAGAAAATTACGATGAGCCTCTCTTTTATGTAGAGCGCAGGTCTACTCTGTCACCAAATGGTTTGGTGCGTCTGGGATCTGCATCTTATGTGCGCCAGGATGCACAAATAGGCGCAATGCGCTTTGCCAAATTCCCACATATCGTAACCTTGACTTTTGCCCCATCACGAAAACTTCTTTATTGCCAAATCTCTCTGGAGCGGTTCGCAGACGTGTGTGGTTCGGATTAAAAGCAGCACCAATACATCTAAGATGAGGGTCCTCAATGGGAAAATGGTGCAGCGCCATTTCCAAATAGGGGATGAGATCTGCCCTGAAGTGGAGGAGTTCAAGTATATCTTGGGGTCTAGTTCGACAAATCAGCTTCTTGAAATGTTGGGGAAGAAAGGTATCAATGCATTACTCCTGGAAGGCTAAAGGTGATTTTGTTTGCCCCCACAGGGAAATTTCATCCACAACCCATCTTTCATTATCTGAGCCGAGGGAGAAGCAACAACAATTGCACTAGGTGTTACGTTCAAGCTGTAACATGGCACACTATTTTCTGATGCACATTAAGGCAACTTACCAAAGTAATGTTCAGTGTGGTTTTGTGGCACTGAATCATGTTTTTACAGCATTGACAGATTTTACATTATGAAACTGCCCATTATTCATGTCATGCTCCACATTCCACTTGAAGCGGATTATTTTTTTGTCCTGCATATTTCTACCTGACTGTAAAGTCAGTCATTCATTTCTAAAATGCTACATTATGATGGTGGCAATCGACGCGTTGAATTAACATAACATCACAGGTTTTGGAACAAACTCTTCATGTTTTGTCTTTGCTCGTGAGAAAATAAAACATTTTATGATTCTCTTTTGTGATCATATAAACACTCAAAACTGTTGTAAAATAAAATACCCACTGTTCTTGGTTGATTTTCATTATTAAAATACTCAAGAGCTGTACACACTTGAAGGCTTCTGTATGTCCTTTTAGCTGCAAGTTTCATGTGATTGAGAAAATGTGAACATAAATTGTGACTGGGGAGAATAACATTTGGGTTTTTTTTATATAGTTTTGTAGTTTTCTGTATCTTTATACCTCGAATTTGTAATTAAATTTATAATCTCACTTAGGGTAAATGCAAGTTCAACTCCAGTGTTCCTTTTTATTTACTAATACTGTATTATTTTTGCTGTGTATGACACAGGGGTACTCGTCGTAAAACGTGTTGAATCTTGAAACGTTTTGAACTCAGAATTGAGCTCTGTGGAACCTTGCTGACCGGGAATATGGCCCCAATTGTATAGTTGCTCTGGTTACCAACAGTCCTTCTGTACTGGCAACAATGTGAGAGAAAAAAAAACCCAAGATAAAAACTTTTCATAAAAATAAATTTTACAACGTTTTTTTTTTTTTTTTAAATCTACAGTATCACATGTATATTGTTTCTTTAAATGATCTTCAAGACAAGGCAGGCAACAAATATGCCGCAGCAGCAGGAAAGCCTGGGTCTATACCTCCACCTAGCGGTCAACTAGTACAAATTTAAATAAGCCCGATGTCAAAGTCAGATATCTAAATGCAAACCATGTAATTCACACATGTGGAATACAATTAAAAGTCACTAAAATCCATTATCATGTCAATAAAAAATGATCAATTTTAAGTTTTAGTTCATTTGCATTTTTTGATTATTATCAAATTATGAATTATCGTTTTCAGTGGTTACTGCTCCGGGCTTCAAGCACATTGTCAAAAGTGATGAACATGCATTTGCTGTCCGACTTCCGCCCCTGTGCGTGAGTATTACATCGTTAGCCCTCATCGTGGTTTTACAGGCACACACACACACACACACACACACACACACACACACACACACATTTATTTTTATATATATATATATATATGTGTGTGTTTTTTCTATGACACTGCACATAGACCCACCAAAGCTAAAAGGTCACGGTTCGAGGCTCATCCCAATCACTGCTAGTTTTAATAGATTCCCATCAGCAGCAACTAACAAGGACAGCCGCAGAAATTGAAGCTTCAGAAGATGATGTCCATTACTGCACAGACAAAAATTGTGTGATGAGTCCTCAACATAGCTCCTTGAGCTTTTTGCTTCATCATCTGTTCAGGAAAACCATTCTCCAATTGGCTGACACATTTCACTTAACAGTATCCACCAATAAGCTCGTACGGGCCGAAATTCCAAGCAGTTCTTCTCCAAGTCAATGGGTCAAAAATACCGTAACGTTTCGAACTGCGTCGCTTGCCCTAAAAACTCGACTTACATCGTGCAAATGAAACGTTAATTTGTAAGAAGAGTAATGTGGGCGGTCGATCATGTACATACCATAGTCAAGTTCTTTCCACCGAATATATTTATTTGAGTGCATTTTACTGGCCTTTAATGTGCTCATTCAGTGTGCGGTTGTTTTAGAAAATTCCACCTGTCACGATTCTAATGTGACAATATTACTACAGTGACAACTTAAATCGGGATGAATATATTGCCGACTGTACTACTATAGCGCCTACTGACTGAGCAGGTGTTTGTAGCCTGCGAGACAGTACGCAGGGCTTACTGTTGCAATTGTAGCTATGGAAACTGGTCGATGGCAACATCCACCAGTTTTCTCAGTCGCTCCCTCTTTCTCTCTTTCCGTGTCCCCCCATCCTCCTTGTACCTTCTGCGAGGTGGCGAGCGTGTGTGCAAGCGCGAACGACAAATGAGACGCTGCAAGATGGCGATTGTGCGACTGATAGCGTGTTGTGTGTTGTGCATCAGCCTCGGTAAGACCTCAAGCTATACAGTACATACGCGTGTGTCGCCTTTACGGACGCTCGTGCTCTACTAGTATTCGTGTTATAAATATAACACGTGACGTAGTTATTGGTCAGCTGCCATGTCGGTCGTGATGGCGAAAAGCAGGAGGAAAACATCTGCTTTGTGTGCGGCGTCACTTTGTCTTGTCGTGTGTGCTTTCATGTGTAAGTAGACCGTCCATGCTGCTTCACTTCACTACTACTGTAAATCATGGCAGTGTGTGCGAGAAGGGCTTTATGTGTATTACGGGGGAGGCTGAGACGAGCCGCTTTTTGTTCGACTGTTGATACAGAATGAGGCACAACTATCAATGCACCTGAAGAATCGAATGAGATAATGCAAGAGCTGTGTATGGGAATCAAATACCTACACAGCATATGCTGTAGCGTCGTTTGAAATGAAGAAATCTTTACTGGTGGTCTGAAGTTTCGTTTTAATTCCTTTTTAGACTTGTGCACATCTTATACAGTACTGTGAAAGCCAGAAAATTCAACAACACCTTCAGTCATACACGTTCACATTTAGCAACTACAATTAATTAAAGTTAGAGTCTAATCACAAACATAAATGTATTGACATTCAAACACAATTCTGAAAACTTTCACCCATGCTAAGTATCTTTAAGCAGTTGTATCCGTCACATATGAATCTTCCTTTTACTTTTACAAAACATTTGAGTGGGTTTGTTTTGTGAAATATGTGTCACTTTGATTCCTTGTTGCAAAAGGAAACTTTGGAGGTAAATTAGTGTGCAGATTAACAGTCAATATGTATCGGAAGAGACACGTGATCAATAAACACAAAATGCGTTTGATAGAAAAAAGTCATGAAGTAAACATCAACCATTGTGCATGTTGTAGGCAGACACTTCAGTCTGGCGGTAACATTTTACACGTAAGCACTGGTGGAGTGCCATGGTTGTAAACATTGCACATTACACTACATTGTAGTGCACACAAGAACAGTGTACATTCCTTGAATATTTGCTTTACTTGCATATTTTTTGAATGGTATTTTTCACGTTGATCATTGCTCTTGTACTTAGTGTTGGTTTGCTGCTCAGCAATTTTGTGCCGTCCTTGAATGGTATATTTGTTTGTTTGTTTTTTGTTTTTGTTTAATGCAAGAGAACCTTTTGTACTGGGGAAAAAATAGGGTATGCGGTTATTTTGTTGTTTGTTTCAAACCCTGTGTTGTTGGTGGACCTTTTACAGATGCGTTGAGAAATGTATTATGAAAAATGAATATATTACAAGCATATGTTTTGCACATATGTACGTATTTTTCCCATATGCAAAAAACATTTTTTGTCATACATCTGGTAAGGAAGTGTGTGACCCTCGAGTAGGCACTTTTTTGTGGCCCTCTCTGGCATTTAAATCGCCCATCCATGAAGTAGTGTTTCACACAAATCATGCACGTCTAATTTTGCCAAATAGTCAGACGGATGCATGCAGGGCAAAATTGCAATGGAGCAGATTTTCAGAAAAGTCAGAAAAGCTATGGTGCCCTATTTTAGTAGACTGGCGCCCATGCGCTCAGCATAAAAACAGACGAAAGTTCATTTTCTTGCCAGCATAAGTCTCATTTATCTGTTTGGGACTGTGCTGTGCTCATCTGGGTGTTCCGGCACAAGAAGCAAGCTCGCCCCTGACGCCCCTGATAATTTGGTGACAGAAAGTAGTCTGCGCTTGGCGTAAAAGCGAGCACATCGTCATTTCCGTGCAGAGACAATGGTTTAATTTGGCATGTTGGTAAATGTCGTATACATGTTACACCTCACTTGCAAAAAGCATGTCTAATTTGAGGAGCAGACGGTCAAATCGGCGCTCCGCAAATGCGAGCGGTGGGCGTCATGTCTATGTTTATTCATAAATATGACACAATCCCTCTGAATCACTATTTGAACGGGTTATAAAAATGGTCATCTTAAAAACATATTTTAAAAACAACCCTATGTGTGTGTGTGGGGGTGGGGGTGGGGGGGCACCCACCAACGCATGTTTGGTTTTGCATGTCATGGCCATCAAGGTGACTAACCATTGCAGAGAGGAACGGCGGGTGGTGACGTCTCATCAACCACGCCAAGAACAACCAGTCGGGCTGATGGATGCGGCTGGTGTTGTGATGATGTGTCGTGTGTGTGCTGGTGTGTGTGCATGCGGTCACCTTGCTGAGCGGAAGCTGACGGGTGTGTTGGCTGGTGTCTATAAACGCTATATTGCATCCGTGAGGCTTGAACTCCTGACCCAAGTGTGAATCAACGCGCTGACAGGTCGAATTTCATTTATCAGATTACTCCTCACTCGCACCCTTCGAGTAGTTTTAGCCTGTGAGTTATGCAGATGAATTGTTCAATACACGTGGCATTTGTCAGCAGTGGATAGTAACGCGCTGCATTTCCTCAGTTACATTTACTTATGTGACTTGTTTCATGAATTGAATGTGTAATAGTTTAGATGCAACATATGCTTACTTGAGTTTTTTTTTTTTAATATTGTTGTCAATTGGACATAAATGCACTCATAAAAATAATAGTCTGGGGTGTTGGATTTGGGAGAGAATTCCAATAACTAAAAGTAAACCTTGCCAGAGAGTAAGTAGAGGTGGAATAAAACATACTAACTAGCTGCAACACACACACACACACACACACACATACACACACACACATATATATACACACACACACATATATATATATTATACACATAATTTTAATAAACCAAGTGTTAACATTTCTATGCAACAATGCAAATAACGACAAAGTGACTTGAGTAACATTGTAGGCTTTTTTCTACTGCACCGATTAATCTGTTGTGTTGTGTGGTGAAATTATGGTTGTGGTTGGCAGAATATCGATAGAAAATCCCTTGGGATCAATAACGTTTTCTTAATTCTGAAGTCATCCCCCTTGAGGATAATAAAAGCGAGTCATTTACTCCTTAAAAATGATTTCATTGTTTCAACAGCGAGTCTTGCATTATTGTAGAATAAAAGCTGTTGGGTAACACTTGCTTTCTCATCTCCCTCAAGAATTTAAGACAACATGCTCACGGTCTAAACTCCACTGGTTGTTTTTATACGGTGGATCCCAACGGTCCAGTCGCTCGCAGCATGTTTGCAGAGGCTGCACTGGAATGTCTGGGAAAGGGGCTTTTTATAGCTGCGTTCATATTTTGGCGCGGAAGAGGATTGCGGGACGTGACCATTGGAGCGCACGTTTCCCCACGCAGCAGAATGGACGAGTCATTGGAAGAACACAGGGATTAAGACATGGCTGAGATGATTGTCAGCATTCACCAATATTGTCTTCACGCCGACCCACATTGTGCCACAGACGCACCAGTGTGGCATGTGTGCTTTTATTCTCAGCTCCTATTAGCATTTAGTGTTACATTGTCTTCTTGTTTCCCACGGCCTACATTTTACTGAGGATGACAACCTCAAAAAAAGGCTGAAAATATGTTTTCCTCCCTGGATCGGGGACAAGCATTTGACCCCCCATCGCCTTGATGAACTCGGAGAAAAATTGACAATCGTGTCTTTAAATTTTTATTTTCAATGGGGTGGGAGAAGCTCTTTGTGAATTTCATTTTCACTTTCATTCCACCAGCATTCAGATTTCATTCTTGGTCCATGATGACTTTTTGTAATGTTAAAGTATTCTTGTAAAATTCCGACTTTATGGTCACAATACATATGACTTTATTCTTGTAGTATTGTCACTATTCTTTGAATCTTGTGATTTTATTCTTTTAACTTTCATTTTCACCACATTATGCTGAGCGCATGGCTGCCACGCTACCAAAATAGGGCCCATAATTGTTGTATGAATAAAGTCGTGAAAAGAAAGTTGTAATATTATGAGAAAAAGTTGTGAATGTAACAGGAATAAAATCCTAATGTCATGAGAATGAAAGTTAGAAAATTATGAAAATCAAGTCCTAATGTTATAGGAATTAACTTGTAATGTAAGAAGAATAAAAGTCGTAACATAATGACAATAAAGGCACAATATTTTGAGAATAAAATATGTAATGTGGGCATAAAGTTGGAATATTGCACGACTAGTGCTAACATAAATGAGAATGAATGTCATCTTGTGCTGACCATAAAACACACAAAAGTCTACTGACTATTTCGGGCTGTGTTTGGCCTTCCTAGGCATTCCAACGCACAGAGTTGCCTCAACCCAACAGCGGTACATACGGTCGGGATGGAAGGCGGTCTCCAGTTATCCACATCACGTGCAAAAGGTGATCTTGTAGTTGAACTGCCAATGACCCTCCTGTTTCCGAACTGTCAAGAACGGCGCCCTCGGGCGTACTGCGCTTGAACCGCCATGACTTTGATGCAAATGAGGGATGCCGGCAAAGGACTATTTCCATCCCACCACGGTGCAAATGTAGGTCCAAATGCCCCGTTACGCCCAATTCTACCTGCGCAATGTACCAAAAGAAAGAAAACTCCACCCATGCACACAGTTAGACTGCGTTTCCAGTGAGACTGGCACGAAAAAAGGGGTCCTTATGACGTCACTCTCCTAAATTACGACTTTCATTTTTTTGTAAAATTGTGCCTTTAATTCGCGTAAAATTACCACTTCACTGTTGTCACATTACATCTTGGTACATACTTTACAACTATATTCTCGTAATCTTACAAGATCAATCTTGGAATATTATAACTGCTGTCGTCGCATCACGACCTAACATTTATTTTCTTATCATTTATTAATAATTTAATTTCCTCTTTCACAAGCTCTCAACAGATGTGACCTATTAGCCTTTCTGGCAACGTCAAGTGCGCTTCATTGCTGCAATAGCGAGAACGTGAGTCATATGTGTAGAATAACAAAATGCACAGTGTTATGAAAGCAATGAATCCATTGTTCGTGCCTCCCGCTCGGGGGGGGGTGGGGGGGGGGGGGGTGGGGGTTGAGGCGGTCCGGAGGACAACAACCGCTCATGTCTTTACAGCCGCTTTACTGCTAAGCCATAATGCTACACCTCTGGCCTGTCCGCAGCGGACGGAGCTGTTAAGGGATAATCCACAAGTAGCGAAGGGATTGTTTGCCGGACAAGCTCGCCTTGTGTCTCTCAGGATGTCCAGTCACAGCTGGAGTAAATATAGCTCTCACCCGCCGCCACCGTGTTCAGGGTGGGAAAAGTCAGAGAGGGAAGGCAGAAGCCGAAACCTGGGAGTCACGTCTCATCTGCGCACGACGGCGCGTTGATACGTCTTGATGTTGGGGCAGGAGCCGTGTTTTCGGCACACCCACAGGCCCCTCGGTGTGCGCGTCCATGTGTCTGTGTGTCTGTGTGAGCATGTTCGCGGTGTCCTGCTTAGAGGCGAGGGGGAGTGATGTCGTGTGGTAGTGAGCTGCTTTGAATAAAGACCTCTAAATTAGTCAGAAAGCTGCAGGGGAACAAGGAAAGGGGGATGTCTTGTCGTGTGCGAGGCTTTTATTTGTCTTAATTTCAGCCTCCATTTTGCTGCCTTTTATCCGACCCCCAGTGGGAAATGCACATTCCTTCATGACCCAGCAGGGGGGTCGTTAAGTCCCATTTGTGCACTGCTATTAACTACATGAGAATCACCACAGACACAATACAGACCCAGTGGATGGTGAAAACAATTCACCGCAGCAATTTTTTTAATGACCCACATTTTGGGGTCATTGTGGTTGTAATTCCCACTTCCTGCTCATTCAAAAGCCTCTCCATATGCATTTTTAAATAACAACGATGTTAAACTACTGTAAGATTAAACTTGACACAAAAGAGTCAAATTGTGATGTAAAAAAAAAGAAAAGGAAATGTAGAAGAATATTTTTTGCAACTTGACTTAAAAAAAGTCAATTACATGAGACAAAATATTTCTACAAATGAATTCACATATTTTATGCATGTTCTTAAATTTTTCATGAGAAAACACTTTTGAAACCTAAAAACTGAAATTACGATGAAATTACAAAAACAAGGAGCAGCTATTCAGAGGATAAAGTGGTACTGCATGTTTACATTTTTACAAATTCCCAATTTCACAAAAAATAACAAATTATAATTTTACACAAAAATGTCTGACAACAATGATGAAAACAACGTTTGAGAAATAGCTATAAAATAGTAATATTCAGAGAAAGTCATCATTATTTAATGTGAATAACTATTATTGTAACATGTAATTGTACATATGTAGAAATAATCTCACATAATTAAATTGGGGTTGCAATTTTATGAGAAAAAAAAAGTTGTACGATAATGTTTTAGGAGAATTTTAATTTTTTCATCATTTTGTTTTCTGTTAGTGGCTATTGTGATAGCGCTATATGAATAGTTTTTTTGAAGATGAAATACCTGTATTTCCTGAAAATACACATATGAATATTTATTATGCTTTTTTTTTTTACATATAATTATGACTTTATGCCTGTAAGACTATGACTGGTTATCAAAATATCACAACTTTATTTTCATATTCTATATATAATCTTATTTTACAAGGAGTTGTAATGTGAGAGAAGTGGTGTACCTAATTTTACAGGATTAAGTTAGCAAAAGTACCAATATTACAGCCCTTAATGGTGCACTACTGCAATATCTAAATGTAAAGAAGCCTAGTTTGTGGATTCACCTTTTCTCCCTACCCCTCCAATTTTGACGCATCAGGCTACTTGGGGGAAAAAAAAACAAATTGGCATTTACTTAAATAACACAGATGGCTTTGAGGAGTCCACTCAAGCAAGGACAGCTTAAACCTTAAGAGTTACTGTATGCTCTGTGTGCCCCAGGACAAACAAGAATGATGATTAAATATGCAGCACATTTAAGCACGGTTAAGTAATTTGCGCTTCTGCTTTTTGCGGCGCCCACACTTTTTGTTTATTGCTCATAATCTGCATACATTTCAAACATGAAGGCTTTTACCTGCACGGAAAGCTGCCATTATAATTGTTTAGGGTGTAAAAAAACAACAGCTGACATGAATTTATAATTTAGCAGCGAGGCTTCAGTTTGTCAAGCGAGCGTGCCTGTCAACGTGACAACACGTAATGGTTGAGATAATGCTCTGGTCTGGAGTGTCCTCATGTCATGTTGCAACATCAGGCTTGGGCTCCTCTGTGGTCTTCTAGCTTTCTTCCTATTAACTATTAACAGGCCCCACGTTATGCTTTCTGCGGTTTTCCTGCGTGCCGCAAAGTTGCCAGTGAATAAAGAGTAGGGCGCACTCGCGAACTTGGACCTCAAGGTCGTGTGAAACATCGCGGCTGCTTTGATGGGCCATGTGTGCGGACATGATTTTGAATTCAGAAAGTTGTGGAAAATGAGGGCAGTTTAAAAGGAAGACAATGGCCTTTCGTGGTTAGTTGTTTCTAATGTTATATCCAGCTCCTTTATCAAAATTCTATGCAACACGTTGTCTATCGTGCTTGTTTCTTCCATTCACGCCAACTGTGATGACTAGTTTAGTTTCTGGAAAGTGGAGTAAGGACTTGACAATGGACTTGTTTTTCTTTGATCAACTATGAAACACTCATGTCTGAATGTTCTGAACTCCTGTTTCCATAGAGGTCCAGGATCAAGCGGAGTCATGTCAGATGTCCTATCATCCTCAGACAGCAAACTAGTTGAGAGTGAATCAACAGCTCTTCAATCAATTTCACAAAATTGACATACAGTCAGTCATACCTCGGTTTTCGACCATAATCCGTTCCAGAAGGCTGTTCGAAAAGCGATTTGTTCGAAATCCGAAACTACTTTATTAGCCCATGATTAGAGGCGAATACACGATGCAGAAATAACATAAAAACAGTCAGATTTGCGTAAATCACAACAAACACATCTGCTCACAATGAACGCTACACGAGGAAGCGTCACTTCCTCGTGGAAGGAAGCCGAGAGGAGTCAAGTGGCGTATTCGGGTTTGCTCAGTTTGGTCGAAAACCGTTTTTTGGTCGCAATCCAAGGCGTAAAAATCTCGAATTTTCTGGTCGGAAACTGATTTGGTCGAGAACAGAGACGTTCGAAAACAGAAGTTTGACTGAACAGTCCTAAGCTCCGCGATGAAGCAGCATGTGGCTAATTAGCCATGGTACGAAGGTTTTTGTTGAGTGCCATGTTTCAAAAAGCAATATCTAAATACAGTTGGATGAAGTAGCTGCCGAAGGGGTTGGCTTTCCTGCTAAAGCTGCTGCTCTGCGAGATCAAGCAACCAACCAATCAAATTGCACATTCCATGATAACAGTTCTTCTGTCCACCGTTTCCAAATGACTTGGTTGCTAGATTTACCAACTTTTCCGTTCAAAGTAAAGATTCAATTTCTCCAAAGACGCGCCAAAACTCACGACTTTCAGTGCGAGAGTGTTGCTGTACCGCTGTACATCTTTCTCCCTCTCCCTGCCTCCTCTGTTGAGTGACATAGAGCTGTAGTGAGCACGCCGGCACATTTGGCAGTGCACTCAGACATCTCTGAGGTCAGAAGAGCCTAAGAAACTATGACGACGGCTTCGAGATAGCGACAGGTAACAGGTAGTCTTACTGGGCCGTGTTTCACTCAGTATTTCATACTTGCTCCATTGACTGACGGCAGAACAGAAAATAGGCAAATGAGAAAAACTTAATTCGGAATCCACCTCTATTAAAATACAGTGTAAGTCCACAGATGCAGCTTTTAGCTGGTTGTGGCAGTGCTGTGGGTGCCCGCATGGGGTTCGGCTCTCTACAACACATCAGCAGTTCATAGGTCAATCAGCTGGATTCCATTGTCTTGATTTACGTGATTGAGATGTCAACATCTAAGTGAGAGCTTATACTTGTGTTGTGACGTTCGCGAACGAGTCATTCTTTTGAACGGCCCTTTTGGGGTGAAGGATTAAATGATATTGGTATTTGGTAATATTGAAGCAATTTGGTTACGGTATAAAATACAAGCTATCGTCTTTCATCTATCCATAACACTGTTCCAAAGCTTGACTCGTACTGTAGCAGATGAAAAAGTCCTGGAAAATTATTTCAAGACAGGAGTCGGAACCCTGTTTTAGTTGGAGTGTACAATAATATATCACCATAGATGGCTGTACATGTTAAAATTTTGTCACACCTATTCAATACAATATCAGACACACTGGCCCCCGTTTTTGGTGAGGTAATCATCATACTAACAGCTATTTCTTAAACTTTGCTCCTCTCCTGAGGCTGAATACAGTGAACACGTTTTGATATAGCTCCTCGATTGTGCCTGTGAGCGCGTCTGTGTCCATACCTAATAAATTGAAAAAAGAATGCAGCAGTAAAGCTCCAAGTCAGCACTCTAACCTCTAGCTTGCTTCTGGAGAAAAGCCAGAACAATAAAAGGCCGTCACCACCGGGATATTTATGGCCCGGTCCCGTATCGTCATGTTTTTATGAGCGGCAATTGAACATTCGGCGCTTCCCCTTTCGTGACCCACCGCCAGCCGTATTATTATCCAATTAACCAGCATAAAGGGACGCCAACGACGTGTTGGAGGTGATGCGGTGTGTACCCCTCACTCGGTTTTGGGGTTAATCTTCTTGGATAGAAATAGGAAGCGTTTAATACTTCTCGCTGCAGAGAGCTTGTGCGTGTGTGTGCGGGTGTTTATCATGATAATCCGCTGTTTATAAGGCGAGTTGCCCAGCTGCTAATGTCTGCTAATGAAAACTCCATCAGGGTGACTCAGCATTAAGTGTTTTTTCTTCATCTGTCTTTCCACAGGCCACATCCCATCATCGCTCGCAGTAATCCTCCGAACCACAGACAAAATCGTGTGGGCAAATGAGTTTGAGCGTAAGTTGCCACAATCTATTTTCGCAAAAGTAGCTTTTCTTTCCCTTCCCGATTTGCATTGCGCTTTTTCTACTCCCTTCCTATTCGCAGCCGTCGAGCTGACCTGCTTAATAGAGTCCATCTCCACCAACAACCCGAGGATTGAGTGGAAGAAGATTAGAAATGGCATTCCAAGCTATGTTTACTTCCAAAGGAAGATAGCAGGTAAATTGACAGGGCAAGCTGAGGGGAATGAATGGCGCTCTGAGAGAACTCTGCTTTGAATTCCGTTTGCATCCTGAGCCGAGTCCTGCTGTGTGTTTCAATCAGCCATTGTAAAGTGTTTTTTTTTTCTCTCTGTCTTCCCTCAAAAGGCGACTTGGAGAACAGGGCACAGCTCAGAGAGCCGGCCAACATTCTGATCTTCAACACCACTCGCTCAGATACGGCCGAGTACCGCTGCGAGGTGGCCGCCATCGACGATCAGAGGGACTTTGATGAGATTCTTATTCGTCTTGCAGTGAGAGGTGTGTGAAATTAAACAACCAAGAAGCAAGCCTATGCCCCAAATATGACTTGTGAGCCAGTTGTTCGGAAATTTGAGGAATTGTGACATCACAATAGGGCAAATATACGCAAACAATACTTCCCCTACACCAGGGGTGTCAAACCCATTTTCATCGCGGGCCACATTTTAGTTACCGTTTTCATTGAAGGGCCATTATGACTGAGATCATATAAAAAAGTCAAGAATAACAAATGTATCCAAATATTGTTTAAGTTACTTTATATATGTCTCTTATTTATCACATATGAGAATTTGAAATTTTGCTCCATATTTTAGCAAGCGTCATGGAAGTTGCCATGTTTGATTTGCTTTCGCGGGCCGCATAAAATGAGGGGGCGGACCAGATCTGGCCCCCGGGCCTTGACTTTGACACCTATGCCCTTCTCGGAGTTATGCCACAAAGACCAGAAAAATTTCTCAGGAAATGACAGAAATAGAATGATTCTTTTCTAGGATGAGACTGTCCAGTTTTAAATCAGACGTCAACATTTATGGCTGCTGCACAAGGGTGAAATCAAGAAAAACGAAACTTAAAACAATCCAGCTTTGTTAATGTATGACAGAGGGGAAGATGAGTCGATTCCTTTTATTGTGTTTTATAATCTTCAAAACTGCTCAACAGCTGACTGCCCATAAGCAGTCTTGCTATGCTCTCTGTACAACAATTTAGGACATCCTATATATATATATATATATATATATACACACACACACATATATATACACACACACACATATATATATATTATACACATAATTTTAATAAACCAAGTGTTAACATTTCTATGCAACAATGCAAATAACGACAAAGTGACTTGAGTAACATTGTAGGCTTTTTTCTACTGCACCGATTAATCTGTTGTGTTGTGTGGTGAAATTATGGTTGTGGTTGGCAGAATATCGATAGAAAATCCCTTGGGATCAATAACGTTTTCTTAATTCTGAAGTCATCCCCCTTGAGGATAATAAAAGCGAGTCATTTACTCCTTAAAAATGATTTCATTGTTTCAACAGCGAGTCTTGCATTATTGTAGAATAAAAGCTGTTGGGTAACACTTGCTTTCTCATCTCCCTCAAGAATTTAAGACAACATGCTCACGGTCTAAACTCCACTGGTTGTTTTTATACGGTGGATCCCAACGGTCCAGTCGCTCGCAGCATGTTTGCAGAGGCTGCACTGGAATGTCTGGGAAAGGGGCTTTTTATAGCTGCGTTCATATTTTGGCGCGGAAGAGGATTGCGGGACGTGACCATTGGAGCGCACGTTTCCCCACGCAGCAGAATGGACGAGTCATTGGAAGAACACAGGGATTAAGACATGGCTGAGATGATTGTCAGCATTCACCAATATTGTCTTCACGCCGACCCACATTGTGCCACAGACGCACCAGTGTGGCATGTGTGCTTTTATTCTCAGCTCCTATTAGCATTTAGTGTTACATTGTCTTCTTGTTTCCCACGGCCTACATTTTACTGAGGATGACAACCTCAAAAAAAGGCTGAAAATATGTTTTCCTCCCTGGATCGGGGACAAGCATTTGACCCCCCATCGCCTTGATGAACTCGGAGAAAAATTGACAATCGTGTCTTTAAATTTTTATTTTCAATGGGGTGGGAGAAGCTCTTTGTGAATTTCATTTTCACTTTCATTCCACCAGCATTCAGATTTCATTCTTGGTCCATGATGACTTTTTGTAATGTTAAAGTATTCTTGTAAAATTCCGACTTTATGGTCACAATACATATGACTTTATTCTTGTAGTATTGTCACTATTCTTTGAATCTTGTGATTTTATTCTTTTAACTTTCATTTTCACCACATTATGCTGAGCGCATGGCTGCCACGCTACCAAAATAGGGCCCATAATTGTTGTATGAATAAAGTCGTGAAAAGAAAGTTGTAATATTATGAGAAAAAGTTGTGAATGTAACAGGAATAAAATCCTAATGTCATGAGAATGAAAGTTGGAAAATTATGAAAATCAAGTCCTAATGTTATAGGAATTAACTTGTAATGTAAGAAGAATAAAAGTCGTAACATAATGACAATAAAGGCACAATATTTTGAGAATAAAATATGTAATGTGGGCATAAAGTTGGAATATTGCACGACTAGTGCTAACATAAATGAGAATGAATGTCATCTTGCTGTGACCATAAAACACACAAAAGTCTACTGACTATTTCGGGCTGTGTTTGGCCTTCCTAGGCTCCAACGCACACAGAGTTGCCTCAACCCAACAGCGGTACATACGGTCGGGATGGAAGGCGGTCTCCAGTTATCCACATCACGTGCAAAAGGTGATCTTGTAGTTGAACTGCCAATGACCCTCCTGTTTCCGAACTGTCAAGAACGGCGCCCTCGGGCGTACTGCGCTTGAACCGCCATGACTTTGATGCAAATGAGGGATGCCGGCAAAGGACTATTTCCATCCCACCACGGTGCAAATGTAGGTCCAAATGCCCCGTTACGCCCAATTCTACCTGCGCAATGTACCAAAAGAAAGAAAACTCCACCCATGCACACAGTTAGACTGCGTTTCCAGTGAGACTGGCACGAAAAAAGGGGTCCTTATGACGTCACTCTCCTAAATTACGACTTTCATTTTTTTGTAAAATTGTGCCTTTAATTCGCGTAAAATTACCACTTCACTGTTGTCACATTACATCTTGGTACATACTTTACAACTATATTCTCGTAATCTTACAAGATCAATCTTGGAATATTATAACTGCTGTCGTCGCATCACGACCTAACATTTATTTTCTTATCATTTATTAATAATTTAATTTCCTCTTTCACAAGCTCTCAACAGATGTGACCTATTAGCCTTTCTGGCAACGTCAAGTGCGCTTCATTGCTGCAATAGCGAGAACGTGAGTCATATGTGTAGAATAACAAAATGCACAGTGTTATGAAAGCAATGAATCCATAAATGTCATGTTTCTCTTCTCAACCTTGCGAAAGTGCTTCACGGGGGGGGGGGTATTTGTGTGTCTGTGTGTTTCGGGTTCATTCTGGCTGTTCATCGTGGTGTGCGTGCATATGCGCGCGTGTGTTTATGCTTTTTATGCTTTTTTGTGTTTATGCACGCTCAGGTCGCTTCAAACGTCGATCTTCAGTCAAAAAAGTTTGGCAACCCCTGCCCTATGTGACAAGCTGACCCCTGGAGTAAATATAGCTCTCACCCGCCGCCACCGTGTTCAGGGTGGGAAAAGTCAGAGAGGGAAGGCAGAAGCCGAAACCTGGGAGTCACGTCTCATCTGCGCACGACGGCGCGTTGATACGTCTTGATGTTGGGGCAGGAGCCGTGTTTTCGGCACACCCACAGGCCCCTCGGTGTGCGCGTCCATGTGTCTGTGTGTCTGTGTGAGCATGTTCGCGGTGTCCTGCTTAGAGGCGAGGGGGAGTGATGTCGTGTGGTAGTGAGCTGCTTTGAATAAAGACCTCTAAATTAGTCAGAAAGCTGCAGGGGAACAAGGAAAGGGGGATGTCTTGTCGTGTGCGAGGCTTTTATTTGTCTTAATTTCAGCCTCCATTTTGCTGCCTTTTATCCGACCCCCAGTGGGAAATGCACATTCCTTCATGACCCAGCAGGGGGGTCGTTAAGTCCCATTTGTGCACTGCTATTAACTACATGAGAATCACCACAGACACAATACAGACCCAGTGGATGGTGAAAACAATTCACCGCAGCAATTTTTTTAATGACCCACATTTTGGGGTCATTGTGGTTGTAATTCCCACTTCCTGCTCATTCAAAAGCCTCTCCATATGCATTTTTAAATAACAACGATGTTAAACTACTGTAAGATTAAACTTGACACAAAAGAGTCAAATTGTGATGTAAAAAAAAAGAAAAGGAAATGTAGAAGAATATTTTTTGCAACTTGACTTAAAAAAAGTCAATTACATGAGACAAAATATTTCTACAAATGAATTCACATATTTTATGCATGTTCTTAAATTTTTCATGAGAAAACACTTTTGAAACCTAAAAACTGAAATTACGATGAAATTACAAAAACAAGGAGCAGCTATTCAGAGGATAAAGTGGTACTGCATGTTTACATTTTTACAAATTCCCAATTTCACAAAAAATAACAAATTATAATTTTACACAAAAATGTCTGACAACAATGATGAAAACAACGTTTGAGAAATAGCTATAAAATAGTAATATTCAGAGAAAGTCATCATTATTTAATGTGAATAACTATTATTGTAACATGTAATTGTACATATGTAGAAATAATCTCACATAATTAAATTGGGGTTGCAATTTTATGAGAAAAAAAAAGTTGTACGATAATGTTTTAGGAGAATTTTAATTTTTTCATCATTTTGTTTTCTGTTAGTGGCTATTGTGATAGCGCTATATGAATAGTTTTTTTGAAGATGAAATACCTGTATTTCCTGAAAATACACATATGAATATTTATTATGCTTTTTTTTTTTACATATAATTATGACTTTATGCCTGTAAGACTATGACTGGTTATCAAAATATCACAACTTTATTTTCATATTCTATATATAATCTTATTTTACAAGGAGTTGTAATGTGAGAGAAGTGGTGTACCTAATTTTACAGGATTAAGTTAGCAAAAGTACCAATATTACAGCCCTTAATGGTGCACTACTGCAATATCTAAATGTAAAGAAGCCTAGTTTGTGGATTCACCTTTTCTCCCTACCCCTCCAATTTTGACGCATCAGGCTACTTGGGGGAAAAAAAAACAAATTGGCATTTACTTAAATAACACAGATGGCTTTGAGGAGTCCACTCAAGCAAGGACAGCTTAAACCTTAAGAGTTACTGTATGCTCTGTGTGCCCCAGGACAAACAAGAATGATGATTAAATATGCAGCACATTTAAGCACGGTTAAGTAATTTGCGCTTCTGCTTTTTGCGGCGCCCACACTTTTTGTTTATTGCTCATAATCTGCATACATTTCAAACATGAAGGCTTTTACCTGCACGGAAAGCTGCCATTATAATTGTTTAGGGTGTAAAAAAACAACAGCTGACATGAATTTATAATTTAGCAGCGAGGCTT